GGGGGCTGGTAGTAAGAGATACAAACGATACAATTCACACACACCTACATTCTCCTTCCTTTCTCGCAGTCTTCCTTTCCGAACAGAACAAACACTGACAGTAACTATTGAATTCAGGACAAAACCAAACGTTTCGTTTCCAAGAAAATCTTCAATGAGTCTCACTTGGACACAATATTTCACCCGAACATTGATACAAAGCAATGAATATCATAACAGTATAAAAGCAGTTTCAATTGTGGTGCATCATTGGTTGAGACTCTGGCGCAGCGCTCTATTTTCTTGCAAGGTTATTACAACTTTGATCAAAAACGCACGCACTGGTTACAAGCAACATGCACTCGTATCATTGTCATAACGATAATAAGAATTTGCATTTCTCTAACACACACCCACCCTTCACTGTGCAGCATGGTCTAGGCCTAGGTGCTTTACAACGATCAGAACAAACGTGAGGAAAGCGAAGACTCTGGACACTGGGACCGGCGAGGGAGCCTCCCCAGAGTTTGGGCATGAGGGAGTTTTATCATTGGGCTTTTCATCGTCGTCGTCCTGTGCGTCTCTTTCGTCTTTATCATCTTCATCGTCGTCATATCCGGAAAACTTCCAGTTCCCACACCTCGGGAAGTTTTTGGGCGTTTTGGGCATCTGGTCCTTGGTGCCGACCTGTAACATATTGGAGAAACAGGGCGCTAGGTGGGAGGGGGTTATAACTATTTGTGTGTCATGCTGACAAAATGAGTCACTTCTCGCAATCCACAAATGGAGATATTGGCCAAAAATCGACATTAGGGTCAAACTTGTAGATTTTCAATTGATGCCATATTCTTTAACTATAACCTGTCTTTTATTGTTTCATACTAATAAACTGTAAAAACACATATTTAAGCGTGATTTATCTGTTTCTTTAAGGCTTGAATATGTGAAGTAACGCGTTTTGTCAGCACGCTTCACATTTTAACCATTCAACTGCCACACCCACTCTACATGTACTCGTATAATTCTACCAAACCACCCACGACAGACCTGGTAGTGAAGGGGTAAAAAAAAAATATCAAACTTTCATAATTAATTCAATTTCTTATTCAATTTCTAATACGATACGCAAAAAAACCACACCAAAAAATGAAGTTCGCCCGACAGTGTCCGACGTTGAACTAATGCATCTGCACTGGAGAATGTTTCCAAACAGACGCAGTTTTGGACAAAGTCAAAGTCTGTGACAATTTCCTGCGATGTGAATATTATACTCTATAACTGGGCTGGCTTTGGTCACACTTTTTTCTTTGCCGTAAAGTATATAATATATTATACAACATGAGTAATGGATGTACAGAAATGTGGGAAGACATGGAGTGACATCAAGCGACTAGCCCAGGATATGGAAAGGTGGAAAGTCTTTGTTTAGTGGCCTATATCCTGATCCAGGATGAAAAAGACAATGATGATTAAACAGTAGACTTGAGTTTTTTATTACTATCATTCGCGACCTATTTGACCTGCTACACACATCCAGGGTCTCCACTCTCATTGGACCACATTTGGGTCACTCTGACGTAATGTAAGAGGGACGTTTTCAATTTATTTTAAGAATGTGTTTTAGCGGACAGAATGGGGAGGTTGAGAGGGAAGGGGGGCGGGGGAGGTTCGAAATGTACGCACCTGAAACAACAATCCCATTCCTATCTCGGAGTGGAATTCAATGTGGCAATGGAAGAACCAGACACCTGTGGATGAGATGAAAAAGTAAGAGTTGTACAGCAGATCTATATAATATATTATGTTTGTGAAAGTTCGTCACTTTGGTCGCCTAAAACCTCCGAACCATTTAACTTTCGAATTTGAAAAAAAAATAACAGCGGTTCAGAATCATTTAAAAGGTGCACAGTTGTATTAAGGAGTCTGAAGTCACTGGAGTTTAATTTTCAGTTTTTCATTAGTTTCATTTAGATCAAATCTTGGGAAAGTCCGTCTTCAAAGACGTCATTGTAAACAAGTGAAACTTCCGTTCACAAGCAGTGCGCTCTGGTTCCACACCTGAAGTTAGTGGGCGTTTCAGTATTACGATATCATGTAATTGATAGTTAGTATATTGGGTTTTTTTCAGGTGATAAGTAAATCTCTCTTCCAGGCGATATCTATATTTCTCTTTCAGGTGATAACTACATCTCTCTTTCAATTGATCATTTGCAGGTTTTTTGTCTTGCTGGGAAATGACGTAACGATTGAATCGTTTGAGTCCGTTCATCGAACGTGTACCCAGCTAGTATAAACATATACAAGAAAGATCTCCTATAAAATGGCAACTTGTGCTAAAAACTTCCGAGAAAGTTGAAATTGTCATTCATTTGGTTTTGTTGCAGTTATTAAAAAATCAATTAACAATGAAATCTGTTATTAAAGAAAAGAGGGAGCAAATCAATCACTAAAAGAAATTATCACCAGCTAATGAAATGAGTCACTTAATGACTAACTTATTGGTAGGTAAATAAGAGTTCATTAAAAATTGTGGATCCTTTTAAAAAGGTCTGAAGACTGTAGCGACATAGTTGCGCTATACTTAAATACAAAATAGTCCAGTTAAACCAACGTTGTTTTTTTTATTAAGGCACACATGTGTGTATAAGGTGCTTGGGAATAAACGTCAATTCGTCTGTACTTAGTTTGCAACTCGACGTTCTGTCAAGTCTCTACAAGACAAACACACACACACACACACACACACACACACACATACACACACACACACACATACACACACACACTCACGCACACACTGACGTACAGACACACACAGACAGACACACAGACAGACACACGACAAAAGACAAGTAATCAATATTATTGTCCCAATAAAATTCCATCCGTAGTGAATTGTTAATACAGTTCTAAAATTCCCAACAACAACAACAACAACAACATTAACACCACCACCACCATCACTACCACCAAGACCACCACCACCACCACCACCAAAAACAACAACAACAACAACAACAACACCACCACCATCACCACCACCACCACCACCAACAACAACAAA